CGCTCAACATTACCACTTATCGTAGTGATAAGCAAATGGGCCGTGCCTCCATTTAAATAAAAGACTGGCAAGATTCGTTTTAGGGAGCTAGGTTTTATTTTTCCCTTTTGTTGTACGGACAAGCGCCATCTCGTCTCCTCGTCTCGAAGTCTACGTTCACCTCGTAGCTACCTCCAACTAAACACTTCAGATTACAAAATACCAGGTATCTGATACTCACGGGAGAATATTGGCCTAGGCTGAATTCTGGTTGAAAGATAGCATTTCTCTGTCCATTACGACTATGGCTTCGCTCTTCTGCCTCCAGTTTTTTCTGCTTTCGATTTTATATATCAATTTTCAGTTATTTTTATGTAATTCCTATCCATGACCGTTCTGAGTTCTTACTTTCGTGATTATGTCTAATGAGAATGTTAAGCAACAGGAGACTCTGACACTAACTTGCCACAGTCACTCGTCTATACAAGATCCAGGCGCCTATGCCACAAACGTTTTCCTCTCGTCTGACTAGACTTTTTTTTATTTTTTTCACTCGTGCTTATGTATCTGACAGCATTGATCACGTCAGTGTTTCCTTCGATCCTAACTCGTTTATCGATACTGTTGTTTACCCGTCTTCTTTCATTTTCTTCGGTTTAGAGTGTATTCGCCACGTCTGCCTTTTCCTAAAAACATGCTTGCAGCTATCATGTTAGATATTTTTAATAAGATAATTCTATTTTTCTAGGTCATTATTCTCTCGGTGTCGGCTGCAAGTGTGGCCATACATTATGTGTGAAGACGGTAGCAGCGATGACGACTATATGTCGGACAAATTTCTTAATCCACCGTAGTTTTCCTTTGCTTAATTGAGTCTTTTTCTAGAACTCAGCCTAAAACAGGGCTCGTAAAGGTCCGGAGCGTACAACAGCATAGGGTTGCTGAAGAGCGAGCGCATTCCACCAAGTCAATTTCGCGCGAAAAACAGATGGAAATTTCACGCGATAAAGGCCTTAGTACAAAAATTGGGGAGGAGAATGTTGGCTTCAAGCTTATGATGAAAATGGGATTCAACCCTAGTGGTGGCTTAGGAAAGCATGGTTAGTTGCCGCTTGCTTTCTCTTCTAATGGTATTACATGAATGCTCTGAGATGTTATTCATTAATGTTTTACCATTTTAACTAATCCGCCTCATCTCAGTATTTTTTTGTAAATTTTAGCTGAAGGCCGGTCTGAACCAATTCCGATCGAGATTGTGGATGGCCGAGCCGGTTTAGGTCTTCATAATATTCGTCAGAAACGAAGTAAAATGAGAGAGCAACGCCAGGAAAATATGGAAGCATTCCAGCACCAGTTCCGTGATTCAATGGCTGCTCGTTTCAAGATGGAAAAAGCACAACGCCAGCTAAATGCCGCAAGAGGTATATGCAAACAGTTAGATTTATCTAAAAACAGAGAAAAACCCGCATCGGACGATTTTTGGCCACCCGATGATATCAAAGCACAACTTTTGGCGCAGTCTTCTCTCATAAGGAAAGAGGTATGCCGGCCTAACCGACCAAAACGTCACCATAAACGTCTACGATCGGAATCGCCTGAGCATTTGAAGGAGGATGAGACTGTAAACTCATCTAATGGATACGAATCACCTGACGTTCCTTCCAGCGCCTCTGATGATGAATTGTGTGATATTGATGCTGCCCAGTATGGGCCAGTCGAAAAAAGGGTACGTATCTTTTTATCTTTGCCATAGAATATTAGACTGTCGGCTAGCTTCTTTTAACTTTTTCCCTCTAACCCTTTTTGAAATATTTTCTTTGCATTTACTCCGTACTTTTCTTCACATTCGTCCTCTTTTACTGCCGTTCCTTCCTATACATTTCTTTTTGCTTTTTCTCCCATTCCGTCTCTTTTTAGTCGTATACTTCGTATCCCTACGGATTATTTTGTCTTATATCTTTTTACTTTTATTCAGCTGTTCATTATATTTTGTCTAATAAGTCCAAGAACGCACCAAATATGCAGTTGGCAGCTGATGTGACACTGTCTTCTTGTAAATGCAATCCCGTTAGCCGAGGCTGCATGCTGTTTTCACCAGCCCTTAATTCTGGTTTTACAGCCCTTCATAACACCATCGGCTAAGTTTGCAACACGTTTATTTCACAGCAAACATGTCGTCCTTCCTGTCGTCGGTAACTTTGCACACGTAAAACTTCAGGCTCGAACGGTTGTCAATTTATTTATTAATCAATAATTTTAAAAAAGTAGGAAAAAATAGGCAATGTGGTCTTTTAATTTTTGTTTTTGGGTAGCCATTAGCTCGGAAGAGTTCCTGAAGATGTTGTTGTTCAGCTC